GAATCCTGGGATATCCTCGGCTGGTAAGGATACATGGATGCATCCTCGGATTTGGAGAGGAAGTAGGACGCATTCCTCGGCCGCATGATGAGGAGCCTTTGAATTGGGACAGTCCTCCGCCTGGGGCAATGACGTATGCGGCCGACAAATGCGCACTCATGAGGACCCAGCCCCTGAATTGAGACACAGTATGACTAGTGATCGTGACTACTATGAGAAATAGAGCAACAAAGGTGATAAGAGGGAACAATGAAGGGCGGTGTTGAAAAGAACTTAACCAGATGAAAATCGCTTACAAAGATGAAACACTTAATCGGAATTGAAATTCAAAATATCTTTTCGTTTTATTACACTACTTTTTCCACAAGTTCTAAACTGGGTCAATGTATAGAAACTAATTACTAGGATATATTTATTAAAATCCAAATGTAACTGCAGGTTGAAAACTATTTTATGGCTAAATTACCTTTTAGGTAATTTCATTTATTTAATTATACAATACACGCTATTAAAAGTTGATCTTGGAAAATAGTCCAAAATAATTTGTGGATTTTAAGTAACATTTGTGATTTTTGCCTCATCACATTTTTTTGACATTTGATTACTGTTGAAAATGTTGAAAATGTGAATTGTCCATGTTTATATTAATACTGTACATACTCAGCGGTTTCTGCCAAATAAAACACCAGCGGCAATTGCAAATGAAAATGCCCCCAAGTTTGTTCTAAAAACAAATATTTGATGAACTTTAATCACTTTTGGAAAACAAGTTTTTAAAGTTTACAAAATATGTGCCCTGAGATCTAGAGATAGCAAAGGTATATATGCACAGTCATGGTAAGAAAAACAATAATTCAATCAAAGAGCTGCTGCAGCAGGAGATAACTCCTTATGGCTCGTTCACACCGAGAGCGTTTTGAGCTGCCAAAACGCCTCAAGTTGGACGCACTGCTTGGACGTATGTTCACACCGGAACGAGAAGCGGCAGCTGCGGCYGRGTCYGGGTGTGGGAGGAGCGTCTTGATTCTTTTTCCGGTCTGGTTTGTTGTTGTGTGGTAAAATGGCGGATGAAATGGCGAACGACATTGAGACGATCGGCTTGGTGTATTTACTGAGTAAATTAGCGCGCCAGTTCTCGAGTTTCTGTGTCTCATAAATAATACGTCACACAGGGTTGAACATCCGTCCCCTCGCCACCACGTCACAGCAGATTTGATTGATTGTCGAGACGCGGCGAGCGGCGACGTTCAGATAAAGTTCCGATTTTTCAACTCGAGCGGCGGCAGCTGCCGCGAGCACCGCATGCTCGGAAAACGCTCTGCCGCCCCTTCCGCGCCGCTCATAACGCGCGTGACGCGACGCACAACCCCTTGAGGCGCGTTCGCCATAGACTTTGCATGTAAACTGGCAGCTCCTGCCGCTCAAAACGCTGTCGGTGTGAACGAGCCATTAGACTKAAGTATTTTGAGAGTCAAATGTGAGACCATTTGTTCAAAGCATCACGCTTGGCTAAAGCTGACTCATGCAGTGGGAAAATTAATCCCAAGCACAACAGCAATGCTACAACACTGTCTCAAAAATAAAAGAATCAGTGTTTTGCAGTTGCCAAGTCAAACACCAGAACTCAATTTATTTCTAATGTACTGAGACCCTAAGACAACTTCACAAAAAAATTAATCAACACAAAACAACCACATACTATAAGTTATTGCGGCTCAGTGGGAGCTGAGTGAAAGAAGGGTGTTATTTTTCCTCAGGTCAAGCTTTCCATTTGCAAAAACACATTTTATTTATCCCCTCATAAATCAGATGCATCCACATCAGGTTGTAAACACCCTGACACTTTGCTCCATGACACGGCCCCTGCTGTGCTGGGACTGGACAACTGGCTTGCCAATCACATGCACACAACTTTATTCCAACATGATGCCTCACACCATAATGTCTAGACAATCAGTCAGATTGCACCATTACACATTGACTGGGCTTGAAATATAAACCTAGACTAATTAGCTGCTCTACAATCTAACCAGACATGGTGACAAACTGTCCAAAGTAGCAAAACAGAGTAATGGAAGAATGAGATAAGTGTGTGTGTTGTACATAGTGTATGTATTATTTACAGCAGACACTGAGCACAGCTGGTGATAGACGTGAAAGCATTTTCCTCCATGCATGTGTACATTTTTGGACCAGTTGGGTAGCGTCCATGATGGATGTCGCGCACTGGAAGCCTGACGCCAAACAGACTCCGCAGCTGTCCACCCCGTGATGGACAGAACAGGTGGACTCACACATGTACACAAAGTTGATTCATGTACAATGTCGCTCAGAAATGCTCAATTGGCAGGAGCAGGGACAAAACAGCTTGTGTACAAACTGTGTATGAGACAGTTGTGAGCTGAGAGGCTCTGCCACTGAAATCACTGACTAAGAGGAGGGATTTGAGCTGAATCAATCTCTCAACACCGGTAAGCTAGATCAGTAAAATATAGTGGCTGTGGATAAGGCCAGAAATGGCTTAGTGGTGAGGAAACAAACACCTCTACACTGTGTCCAACACTGAGGCCCTCTGTCTTGTGCCTCTCTAAGATTCTCATCTTTACAATCGTATATCTCGTTACAGGAAAAGGAATAGTTGTGTCTTCATGGCTTAGCTGTCTGAAAAATATACCAAAAACGCCTCCAAGAAAGAACTCAGTCGGGAGTAGGAAGTTGACAATTATGATTTAACAGGGCACAATTTGAATAAAGCATGTCTCCTCTCACCACGCACTGCAAATATGGTACAACCATCAAAATTTTATCCTACTAAAAAGTCTAAAAAAACTTTTATTTATTTAGACAATAAATGAAAAGTATCTCTATAGTAATTTAAAGAAATAAGCTTTCCTCACATGGTATTCAAATCTGTTCAAACCCTTAAAAAAATGCACCTTCAAAAGAGGAAAAAGAGGTAAAGAGAAAGACCATTATCAGTTTACAAAAATAAAATATATGATCATGTTGTTAACTTGAGTGGCAACAAACACAAGACTTGAGAAGCTGAGAGATTTGAGGTTCTGCTTTCAAATGTGTGTGTGCTGACCGTCTCAACTTTCAGTCCTGTAAGTATTTAAGGAGTACTAGGAGTCCAGAGGCTTCCACCACTGTTGGCTTCAAGCTTATATAATTACTGACACTACTATGCATGTGCATATATGTGGTGTCTGTGCATGTGTGAACGTAGGGTTGGGTGGGCTAAGACACCGATTTTATCCAGGTCCAAGCAAAAACCCAGTCCATCTTGTGTTTTAGAAATACTGAGCCTCGACTGCAACATTATTGGAAAATATCCATCAGATTTGAGCCCCTCTGCCTCCAAGCCAGACTACTATTAATGTTGCTGGAAAATTGAAATGAACTCAACTATTACAACAACAACAACAACAACAACAAAATGCATTAATTTATAAACTAGTGTAAAACAGTCATACATAGCAGATCTTCTAAAAAAATAATAAGCTAGTAATATTTTACACAAAGCATATTGTGAAGAAGAAGCTGCACCATTTTCTGAAACAAATACTGGACAAAATGTGTCTGTGTTTATGCATTTCTGTTTTTTGCATGTGTGGGTTTATGGTTTCAAAACGAGGGCTGATGTGTGGGCTGTGTGAGCAGTAATGGAGGATCCAGTTCCACTAATGTGATCAACATGATATTCCTTATACACCATAAAGACACAACACATGAATGCTGACATACAGATTCCATCACGATCCACCCTCTAAACCTTGTGTTTTCATCAGCCATAGGTAGAGATTTAGAAAATCATCTGAGTTGTGAGAGACTGAACAGAATATTAAATTGCAAACAGAAAGCTGAAAGTTTTAAAAATGTTGATAAAATCCTGTAAGAGCACAAAGTCGGAGTTAATTCCCAAACTGAGATTATAATAGCAAAAAGTACATTTGCCAACACATGATTATAATTCTATACAGCAGAGAAAATGAAAAATGAAAATAAGAAATAAATTATTTGATGATTAAGCATACAAAACCACAGAGACATCTTTTTTAAATCAGGTATTATTTTGCTTTTGTGTACTAGCAAAGCAAGTAATAATGTCATAAATTGCAAAATTTGTAAATGAATACAGTAATTTTCTGTTTTCTTTGTTAATTTAATACTCTTGTATCCCATGTCTGCACCATAATTATACCAATTTCACACAAAACTGAATCAAACCCATTTTTCTTCCTTGGTTTTCCAAAAGTAAATGTGCTGGCACTTTTCAAATATCTGGTGGAACAATGTAAAATTTATCTATGCTGCCAACTTCCCACACTTGATTTATTGCATTGAATTCTGGGGAAAGCATGCAAAACAATTATAAACCCTATTTTTGTTTTACAGAAAAGAGCTGTAAGAATTATTGCTAGAAAACACTACAGTCACACATCAAATATATTATTTTATCAGTTGAAACTATTGAAGTTCTACGAGTTGGTTGATAATATTTTACAGGTTATGTATAAGGCTCACAAATGTATATTACCTTTAAACAGCCAATTAAATTTTGTTAAGAGAAAAAGTTGTTATAATCTGAAAGTTGTAGAGATGTTTGTGAAACTTGGATTTCGAACTAGTTTGAGGGAGCGGTGTACTTCCATACAAGGAATAAGACTTTGGAACAATCAGGAGAGCGATGTCAAAAATGCCAGATCAATATTTATATTTAAGAGGATGATAAAAGTCACTTTGTTAAAGAAATATGAAACAATACAATGTGTATTCCTATGAAATGTTGTTCAACAAGATTTGAGGTTGTTTTTGTTTGGTTTTTGTTAGTAGATTATTATTTGTTTAAAATTTATTTTTGAGAAGAAAAAGGCACAGATATTATAAGATTTTTTTCTTCTTTCTGCTGCCTTTCATTTTATTTGTGATTTGTGTTTTTATTGTACATAAATTTTGTTATTTTTAAATGAATAACTGAATGAATGAAACTTTACTAGATGCAGCCTAACTGTTACTAGACTGAAAAAAGATGAGTGCACGCAAATAAAAGATATAGCTTTTACATTTTTGTAGTCAATTCTATACAACTTCAAAACAAAAACTAACAAGAACTTAATATTTTGCTGAAACGGGAGAAAACAACATTTCACAAAGTAGCATTGCTTTATTTGAACGTGTGCAAGGAGACACATTATCCCACACACATACAGAGGCTATTAAAGGCACATCAACATGAGGGGAGTAATGCTTAAAGCCACTAGTGTCAGAACTTATGTAGACTAAACACAGCTGAGTGACTACAGCTGCAGGAGACACTCTCACTCACACACACACACACACACACACACACTTCTGTGGCAGATGTTCAATGTGCTTTTGATAACAGCATCAGCAGCGCTAACAATCATTCCTCACACAAGGACACACACACCACCATGTGCATGTACAAAGCCAACGCCTCCTTTCTCTGATCCCATGTCTGCGTAAATCAAATCAGAGTCCTCCACCACTATAACCAACACCATATGAGATGGTGTTAAAATCAGCTCCATCTTAGCCTGAACATGTTTTGGCCAGTGGGGTATGCTGCTGTACAAGTGTGTGCTTGTGCGTTTTGGTGTCTTACCTCTGCGCCACATGGTAGGACTCTGGGTGTATACAGGTTTGGTCCAGAGGGTTTAATGAGGTTGGTATGTTAGTTCCAGTCTTTCCTTTGCCCTTCTTGGCCACTGGTTTCTCTGGTACTGCTGGTGCAGATTGGGATGAGGGTTTGACACTGTTTGACAAAACACAAAGATGTTTTTAAAATATGTTACATAGGAGATTTAGCCTTAAAGTTAATATCAGATGACTGACTCATAATGTTTTTTTATTGTAGTGGTATATAGATTAAGCAGTTGGCATACTGAAAATATTTAAAAGGGTAGTTACTGTGTATTTTCCAGGCACATAGTTCAATTCTATACCACAGTCAAGTAACTATGTTACCTTCAGTTATGAATAAACTGTTTATATCAAAAATAAAGTCATTCTTTGCATCATAGCCTATCTAAACACTTAAATTGGCCTCTGTCTCTGTAAGAACCTCCTGCAGTTTGACACTCCCATTTCAGCAGATCTTCACAACAATACTTTGGGAGAGAGAGGCTCAGTGGGGCAGGAGCTCGGCTGCAGACTGAGCTCCAGGGAGGAGCTTTGTACAAAAAGGCGGTGCTTTGTACCAGCAAGCATTTAGGCAGCTCCACACGGCTATCACAGGAGATTCAAGGATTTCTCAAACATGCATGAATGAAAGTATAGACATAAACTGCTTTGTCACTCATGCTAGTTCAGTTACTATAGTTTACCATCTCACAAGATTATGACTCATTCAACAATAAAAAAAGGCACTGCAGTGTAAGAGATGAATACTGATGTTAGATTATATAAATAATCAATAGTAGCACTGTTTGTCCAAGACCTTTTTGACATTTTGGCAGAGAAAGAAGCAAGTACCTATTTATCGTTTGAGGGTTGATTCTAATGAAGCCAGCACATTGTTGGAAACTTTTTGGTCCCATGCCTTTGATCAGTTTAAGTTGCTCTCTGTTGATGAAAGAACCGTTCTTCTCTCTCCACTCTGCAATATTCCGAGCTCGACCAGCATTTAGGCCTGCTACATGCCTGGAAAAGGAAACAAGAAATAACAGAGTGAAAAAGATTTACTATATCTTTTTATCTAAAGATTTTCTGGGAAATTCTGAACAGATCTTTATTTAATTTAGAAATCTTTAATGTGATGGGTGCCTATGTGAAAAAAAAGTCCTATTTAAAATATGTAAAGAACCATTATATTACAAATGTTTTTTTAAATAGTAAATTAAATCTAAATGTGTGACTTTGCATTGAAACAAGTACTGGTCAAACACTCAAAAATGATCTTTAGTGAGAACATCTGTCCACTTTTGGCAGAGCAAAGACGGGAGGTGATCTGAAACTCAATTAGGTCAATCCTGTTAGTGCCCACAGTGAGTCACTCACTCTAAAACACACTGCTATGTCAACACTCCACATAATGCGTCAGTCATCAACACGTCTCTGTGCCTAAAGTCCATGTATGTGAGAGTGGCCTTACTGAAGGAAGAAATGGAAAAAGCTCTCTCATAGAGCAGACAGGTAAACAGATGACCTGATGCCTGTCTCAGAGTCAATGCCAGCCTATTTCATACGGTTTGTTTCAGTTGCAAAAAGTGTATATCAAATCTGTGCACTTCCTTTTCTTTTTGTGTGAATAGCTGTAAATGTGTCTGCAGTATGGTGTTGTACCAGGAATAACCATTGGTCGTATATTAAAATATTAACGTCTACATACATTTTTTGTGTGCAACTTTGCCTAATCCTCTTGGTTGATTCCAGTCAGCCCAGTAATTGGAGCCTGGGTGTGAAAGCTTTAGTCTAAACAGAAAACTGGCAGGTCATCGGTGTGTATGTGAATTAATCACACTCCTGTTCAGGAGTGTGAATGAAGCTTTGCCATGTTGTGACTGCAAAAGAAAAGTATGTCAGGGGCCTGAGACCAACTTCTTTTCTTTCTCAGAATTTGCATGTGTGAGGAAAAAACAGAACAGAGGATGAAGGTGAAAACACACACCTGCTTTTAGGACATGTGTACAATGATATCCAAGGTTTGAGGTATTTCTGGTTTTCAGATTTTCGTGCATTCTGCTTTAGGAAGGCCTTTTATTGGCTCATAATTCATTCAGACTCAAAACCAAGTTCAAATTGATCCAAAACTAACTGCAGCAAACAAAAATACTACTACAGCAGATAAAAGTTCCTGTGGATCAGCATCATCAGTATCAGGGAGATGTTTCCTTTAGGATGTCTTGTCAGTCGTCTTCATATTTTTCAGTGTACTAAGAGTATTTAATGAATGTAAAGGCACTATTTATGGCAATATTGTTTGTTAGCACCTTTTGTTTTAACATAACAGTTCTATATCATTTACCTCATCAATATCTCAGAGCAGGTGTTGATGTCCACCCCCACAAAGCTCACACACTCCTGCACCACTCCGTCCAGCGCTGCCTTCAAAGCTCCGGCTGACACATCGTGCTAAAAAAAATTAAAAAAGCTAACATCAGCACAGACAATTTTGCATGTGCTTACATATAAAGTAGGAGGGGGAAGTGGCTCAAAGGCTGTAGGATTACTGCTCCCCTGTATCTTTTATATCTCTAGGAGTCAGACAAAATGAAGGAATTACAGTACAAATCAGTACTTTTTGAGACAGTCTCAAATAGTACTACTTTGTACTGTAATCTTTTTATATTTTAACTGAAACCTCAAAGACATTTTATTAAGAACTTATATTAACTACAGATAATTAACACATTTCTAATTACCGGTATATTTTGTTTACAAAATATCTAGGCTGTGTATCTATTTCCAAATTCTATGCTATTTTTGCAACACTACCAATACTGTTTGGGCAAATGTATCAATATATTAAAACAACATGTCAGAAAAATAAAAATGACACTGGGAACACACTGACTGATGATACAGCAAGAAAAGAAGAGGAGAAACAGCAGAAAAATAAACTGCAGATTGACGGGCAGAAGACCTGCAGAAAAGAGTCAAGAATGTTTGGTTTGGCCTGTTTGTGTTCTCTTTCACTCATACAATGTTCTTCTTTGAGCAGCTCACCGCTGGTACAGATCCTCCAAATGAACCTTCACACCTTTCAACTGCCAATATTTTTTATTCAGGCCATATTTTTTCAGAAGGACTGAAATATTATTTTATTTAAAGAAGTAAGAAAAAATGGGCAACTATGAAAAAGGAACTCTTAGGGGGTAAAATAAATAAATAAATAAATAAATAAATAAATAAATAAATAAATAAATAAATAAATAAATAAAAAACAAAATACAAAAAGAAACTTTAAAAGCCCAGACAGATCTACAAGTTGTGGAAGAAGAAAAAGAAGCCCTTAGCTGTGGGACATCAACAATGCTCCAGACTTTCAGCTGGGGACTGATGTCTCAGCGACTGCTGGAGGATTATCTGACACTCTAAACTGGACTACTGTTGGGCTGCTCTAACTGTGCGTCACTGTAAGCATGTGTACATGTGCTTTGTTGTGTGCTGTACGCTTGAATGTGGCAGAGAACAGCATGAGTTTTCTTGTAACACGATCGAGCTCTGAACAAATACTGACTTGTAAACAGATAACAACAACACCAGCACACATCCTTCTCTGTCAGCAATAAGCAAGACAGATGAGAACAACGAGGGGAGGGCAGGCAGACGGGGGAAAGGAGATATATGAGAAGACAAGGAAATCCTCAAATATGATTTGGACGTTTTAAAGATTTTTTTCCATGATTTGTTGCTAACTCCAAATCAAAAATACAATCCACAGAACTTAATTTATTTTATTTCTAAAGAGTCACATATATAACTTGTTTGGTAACATGCATTGACACTGGTTTACTGTTTTTTATTGTGTTTTCTTTTGCACAATTGTGTTGAAAAATATACAAATCTTTTGTCTTTCTGTTATTAGCCTTCAGATTTTGAAATTATAGATCTTCTATAGACCCTCTATTCACAGATGTATCCTGACTCAAACCTTACACATAAAATTTAGGTAATACACATTAAAGTAATTTATTTTCTAATAAGAGACTAAACTAATTTATTTTTATTGAGTTATTTTTATTATCTAAAGTACAACTACTTGTGATAAAACTCTGCTTTTAGTAGGTAATAAAAATGAACTCACCAATATGTTAAAAAAGTTAAATGATATTGCATTACTGTAAGCTACTTGGTTAATTTATAAGTGTTTTATTCTAAAACATTTATTTGCAATTATTGTATGCAAACTTATTGAACCAAACTTTTTATTTCAATCTTCTTTTAGTGACTTTTTTTATAATAAATTGAAGTGGTATAATAAAAACAAAATGTTACCTTTGTGGACAATAAACTTTGAGGGGAAACAGACAAAAGACAGCCTCTGAAAAACTAAATTCTGTGACTTGCTTTCTGGTTCTTAGAGTAAACCCTTCTGGCTCTATGGCCAAAAGCATTTTGCATACTGTAAAAATAGTTTTCCAAACCATAAAGCTCTAGTTAAGCTATGACTAGAAGATTTATGACTTCCTGAGTGAACACAGAGAGAAAGGAGGGTCAGAGACAGTAAGAATGATGGAGAGGAAATCACCTGTAATGTCACACCTGAAAAGAATGTTTTCACACGAGAAAGTCTGAGGCGTGTGCCACAGTGGGTTTGAACCTGAAGTAGAACTCCAGTGAAGGTGTTCTCATATTATATTCTCACTGAAAATTAGAGGTGGGAGCAACATGAGAAAATCTAAACTGTTGTAAATAGACAAATGTGCACTTCTGTGCATGCTTGTGTTTAATTACGGATGGAAGTGAATCAGTAAAATTATACAGCAGTGTATTTAATGTCTGAAAATCTGTTGCAATCTGTTAGTGCTCAGAGCATGTGTTGGGGATGACTAAAGATTGCTCAACAGATTTCTTCCCTACACTTTTCTACTATGTTTGCCTTTTCTAAATAGGGCTTTTATGTACTGTGAGGGCAAAAGTAGAGATGTTAATACCGATATGTAACAAATAGAATCAGTACATGGGATCCCTCTTTGTGAAGGTCATGTTTAAACTGGCTGGAAACCCATTCAAGTCCGCCAACCAACACAAATGAACAAAGTGCTTCTGTCTGCACCACAAGTACTAAAGGTCTGTAGGGTTACCACATGCCAATCAGAATGAGGCAAGATGTGAAAAGTAAAAAAAAAATACAAAGAAAAAGACGAAAAATAAAAATAAACTACTTTTTTCTTAGTGTTTCTCAGAGAATGAACAGTTTATTTTTAATCGATAGATTTCCTAAAATGAGACATGAGAATTCGAAACCGCAAATTAACGGGAAATAAAGGACAAGAGTCAAAAGGAAAAAAAGGGTGAGGCAAAAAAACCTGCTTAATGTTGAAGTGTTGAGTGGCAATGATGGCAGAAGTGTAACAGCAAAGTGATAAAAACATGAACACCGTTACCAAAAGCTCAAATATAGAACCAAGCTGGAGCCAGAAAGGCTGTGTGTGTAAAGAGCCCGAGGGAAGCAAATGATGGAAGGTTAACTGTAAAATGATTTCAAACTCAAGAATCACATTTCACTTAAGTTCTTTCCATTGGATTCAACCTGGGGACATGTAGAGTTTATCTATCGGAGTTGTAAATAAGGCAGGGTGAAGGAGAACACACATCAGTCTGTTTGGAGATTACCGGTACTCACCTCACTTGGCAAGTTGGATCAGTTTCATTAGATATTTTAGGGTTAAAACCTTATTCAAACTTCAGGTAAAAATGGAAGTTAATTGAAGTTTTAAGGGGGTGTTGAAACCAGGGGTGTGAAGATTAACTGATTTGTAATAATTCACACGCACGCGCGCGCGATACAATAAGACCTGTGAAACTGTTGTGTGCCACGGCAGCTGTGAAATAAAATCTAGATGCACTGGTTTATAATGTCTTCATAATCCATATTTGTTCAATGAAGATTCTGCAAACAGTTCTGTTTTGAGGGGGTGGGGGTGGAGTATTATGCAAAATTGACTTATTTGAACATAGCACCTCCCTGGAGCTCAGTCTGCAGCCGAGCTCCTCCCCCACAGAGCACCCCTCTCCCAATGCATTGTTGTGAAGACAGGCTGAAGTGGGAGTGTCAGAAAAGGTAGGAGATTCTTAAAGAGACATAGGCAAATTGCAAGGCATTTAGATAGGCTATGTAGCTGATGAGATTTCAGGTGAACTCAGCCTTAAAAACACTGCATCCACATGGTGGACAAAGAGGTCAGTCACATGCAGTGCAGTGCTTTTAAGGCTGAGTTCACCTGAAACTCATCAGACTGAAGAAGTCTCTTGGAGGAGAGACGAAACGTTTCACTAAAGAAGAACTCATCCAGAGGACCTACTTATTTTTTATTTTTGATATTCTTTTATCATTAACTCATAAATTTCTAAACATGTTCAAAATAACAAATGCAAAGTTATAAGATAACTAGAGTCCTTACAAAGTAAAGACAAAAGTCAAACATATTTTAAAGGGTTTAAGCACTTGAGTTATACATGTTTGAAGGAACAGCAATAAAAGACAGAATGTTTGTTTTAATTTGTTTTATCAGCAAATAACAAATTTCTTGAGAACATGATCTTTCCCAGAGGAGAGGAGAGGCAAGGAAGGTTTTTATTTTTTTGATAGCTCTCCGCGAGAGCTGAAACAATTCAGTCTGGGAGAAGAGAGCTTTGATCTCAGGCGGTCAAAGGTCAACCAATGGTGAGATGAGGTGAGGTGAAATGGGCGTGGCACTACAATACAATCAAAAATTATTTTTGCTTCTCACCGATGAGTTACTGAAAGATTATTGAGCACATCTGCCAATTTGCTTTTGCATTTTTGTTATTTGTGTGTGAGGTTTTATGAAAATAGTTGGTCATTTTAAGACAAGATTTGTTTATGATCCTTTTTTCTTAGGTAATAACTGGTCTCAGTAATCAACAGAATCATACCTTTGCAGTGAATTGGTAGTGCATCAAAATACATATTAATAATATATTCTTTTTATAAATGTATTTGTGTACATTTCTGAGACAATTCAGCAAGAAAAAAGTTAAGAGCACTCCTTGTAATACTCCTTGTTATACAAATTCTTAAAATTAATTTCAAATACACAAAACCATTTTTTCTTATTTTATAACAAAAACTTGTATTTAGTATTTATATAGTAATTTAGCTAATCTTAAACTTTACTGTATTGCAACTTGCTCTTCAACCATATTCATAATTTTCTTCTATATATAGACAGTGACTATAAATAAAACTCATCTCAATATTTCGTCTGTAAAACAAAAATTCTAACCTGATTTATAAACTGTTCAGCGCTAGAAACAGTAGCTTGATGAGGTAAGAGTTGGTAAATGACATATTTTCATTTGTGAAAATCGTGTCTCTAATTCACTAAAAAAAGCAAATGATTCACTCATCTCACAAGCTTACTAAAACAAGCTCAACATCATGTTTTGACAAATCTCAAGAAAAAAAGAAAATACTAACAGTTCATGTTTGGCAGCTCATACAACTTACCGGTATATTTTAAGAGACCTTTTTTTCTTCACGCCTCATTTACTCAAAGCAGGAACTATCAGTTACTATTTAGCCATCATTTCTCACTTTTCTTTCCTTGTCGGCTCCTGTCTCCCCTCAAGGCACTGCCACTCAAGACTGAATGATAGGATAGGACTGGTGACCTCTGTGTGAACGCATCGTCACTCACACAACCTTTTATTTCAAGGTAATGCAAATTTACCCTAAAGATTATGCTTTACAGCTGACTTGTTTGGGTGGAAAAAAGCTTGTAACTGTCAGATGGAAAACCCCTGTTGCTTGCCAAACCTCAGTACTATCAGGATTCTGGGTGAGCAGCTTGCAGTCACATTAAGATTATTTGAGCCAAACTAAAATTCAATCATTTACATTTTAATGTGTTTTTAACAATGCAAACAATCATGGAAATATTGACATTTCCTTGACTAAGTTTTTTCCTTCAGCTTTTTAAAACATTTCATATTTGTTTTTTTTATTAACCAATAAAACAGTCACTGTAGAAAACTATTGTTTATGTTTCCACATATCCTGTCACTTTAAAAGCAAATTTAAAGTGCTAATTGGAAAGAAGTATATTTTAAAATAAAACTAAAATAAATCTTTATACTTATAAATGTCTGTTGTGAAAATGTCTGCTTTGAAAATGTTTTTTAGCACATAGAGGTTGTGATATGAAACAAAATAAAACTATTCTCTTAACACACCTTCCGTACTATCAGCATTATATTTTGGGTTCTGCTGATTTAACAGAAATGACAAACCTGTAAACATTTTTCCCCATTGATGACAAAACAGACAAGCAGAAGTTGTAACCTGTTTTAATCCTAGCTTTAAATTGTTAAGGTATATTTAAGTTGAACACTATTGAAAGTTAAAAACTGAGTCTTATCTTGAGAAAAAAATCACTTCACAGATGGCAAATGAAGAGCAGTCATTGGACAAGAAAAAACACGCAAAAAGCAGGAGTGAGTAAGGAGATTAGGTGAGAGTTGAGGAAAAGACTGACAGTTTCTTTAATATCCGGCTGGTGGGTGATGTTTTCTTAAGCAGCAGTGAGCGCCTTTGTGTGTATTTTTCAGTAGCAGTTAGTTTCACAGCTGTGGGGATTGCCGAGATGTTAACAGACCATAGCAAAATCAAAAATTGAGTGAGAAGGACTTGTCTTAAAGGTGGCTCCCATTAAGCCTCTTATTATAGAAAGACAAGACTGATGGGTACTTGTCAATTTAAGTGCCCTCGATGTAAAGCTGTCTTTAAAAAGCACTTGTTACAATGCAAACGCCTGTTCCATCAAAATATAGGAAAATCTATATACAATAAAAAGAAAACACTAATCATAAATGAAGCGGAAAGAAGAAAAAAATCTTGTAAAAATTATTACTGATGAAAAGAATAACATTAGGGTTGGATTCACACGTTGCTGCTGCAACATTAGCATCCAGCAAAACTTGTCAACCTGGTGCTGTTTTTAAAACCATGTTCCCAAACCAATACTTATGTCCAATGTGATTTTAATGGGCTTCACTTTTTTTGCCCTCAGCTCATTTCCGCCTTTCTCTCAGAGCTGTCACTCATTGAGTCAGCAGAGGGAGAGAGAAGGGGAGCGCCTGCTGTGCCAGCTGTATAGAGTTACATCTGCCCTTGTGCTTTTTGGGCCTAATAGAAATAAACTTTTAGAAACCTCAAAATACCATGAATCTCACACACACAACATGAGAATGAGCTCTCTCTCTCTCTCTCTCTCTCTCTCTCTCTCTCTCTCTCTCTCTCTCTC